ATATGTTGACACTACATTTATATGTGGAAATTATAATATATATATATATAAAAAATAAAAATTCATAAATAATTAAATTTTGGATCATTTATATAAAATCACAATGCGTGACATTCATTGTCAAGTAAAATAAGAACTATGTAAAAATAAATAAATAAATAAGAACTATGTATTATAATAATAAATTGTGAGTTCTAAAAAGTGAACTAATAGATGGAATATCAAAACAGACTGATAATACTTTGGAAAATTCTTTCAATATACACAAGTATACAAATAATCAACTAAAACTCAAAGTGTGCAAAAAGAAAATTAAAATTGCTCTCTATAAAATTTCTTGAGCCTACAAACTACTGAAATTCCAACAGAAATTTATTATAATAGAATTATTCCAACGACAATTTCAATGGATATTCAATATTACTATTTCCGTTGGAATTTTTTAATGGATTTTAACAGAAGTTCCAACAAAAATATTCCGTTGGATTGAGTTATCTATTGGAATTTCTGTTGGATTTTGACAATTCCAATGGTAGATTTTCCAACGGGGGTGGAAATAAAAATTCCAACAAAAATTGCATATTCCAACGAAAATTCCTACGGTAAAAAAGCCATTGGAAATATAACAGTTTGAATCATCAAATTCCATCTAAAATTCCAATGAAAAACACATTTCAACAAATATTTTCGTTGAAACCATTCCAGCGGAAGCTATACCATTGACAGTGACGGAGCTAGGAATTTTACCGAGGGGGCCCAAATAATAATAACACCATGTACAATCGATTTCACAAACTTCGTATTACATAAACAGTGAAAGACAACAATCCACTTCCTTAATATAACATACTTGAGAGAATTTCTATGATCCACTTATGTCATATAACAAAATTACCACTTTAAATTGAATACAAACTTCATGAAATTTTCTTTGTTCCTATTTCATAGTCATACCCACCAAGAAAAAACATTAGCCTTTTGCTAAAATTCTACATATATCACCTAAATAACTCATTAATATGTCATTACATCACAAACAACACCGACACAAGCAATCACACTTACACACATCCGATCAAATCAAACACTATATTTTAATATTTTTGTCTCAAAGTCGATCTTAAGTTCTTAATAAACACAATTATACAAAACTAGTGTTAACATTTAAGTCTTAACACATGTCCAACTAGTGTTTTCCAATTTACAAAAACCCCAAATCATAGAGGTAAACAAAATCAATTGAAATTGATGAACTTAGACAGGGAGGAACAATAAAAAAAGCATATACTCATATTTTAAGAAAAAAGAACAAAAATTACACCCACCAAATAATACTACCAATGAAATCAATATTATACTAGTTTGCAGATTCTTGTTCGACATTCAGAAATCAAAGAAAAAAAAAAAACTTATTCACAAGATAGTTTGCCGAAGCCGGACGGGGAAGGATGAACTTAAGTCGGACGGCTGGACGGGGAGTCGGGGATGAAACTGAAGCCGGCGAGCTTGGACGAACCTCTTTTCTTTCTCTCGTTTTCATCAATCTAAAGGCCCAAGGGATTAGGTTTTTTTTTTTTT